GGGAGGGAGGGAGGTGCGGCAGTACTGTACATCCGGGAACTAACATTCATTTATTTATATTTGTACCTCCTCGATAGGTTTGTGCTTGTGCTCCCCCTACTGGCGGCATTGCTGTATTGCAGGAAGTCGCAACTCCGGTCTTTTTCATGTGTGTACGGGCTGTGCACCCTGAAAGTCACTGAACACAACTGGCAGATGGACTTCATTTTATGTAATCCCTATGGCACTAAGTCGGTTCATCAATAGTACAGACTTTGCCTCACGGACAGACACTAAATCCATGCTAAGCGTTGTAAACCACAGTGAGATTTGAAGTGGCTTTAGAGGTAGACAGTCGCTGGACTGAAAAGGAAATCTAAACAATGGTACATGTCCTAAAAAATGTTAGTGTGTGGTGCAGGGAATTAACCTGTCCCTTTACTTCGGTATCTGATTTTGCAGGATACATAATGAGAAGGATCTGAAAAGTCACCCTGCTTTATTGGGCTTTCTGCAGGACCTCATTTATAGCTGAACAGACCAGAGCACCAAACAGCAGGCTGGTGAGGACTGTCAATTCAAATGCTCATTTTTGTTAGTGTTGTTCAGAAAATGTCATGTTTAGTGTTTGTGTCAGTGTGGTGAATGTTTAGTTAACTAGTAGGTAACTATTGTGATTGAGCTACATCCCCAGGCTTTTTGGTACCTTTTCCCTCTTGCCTCGTCACATATTTCTGCAGTGTTTGTGATGCACCAGCAGTTCATTTTGAAGCGTCATTTCTACTTGAAACACGGTATATCTATTTATAAGTAACTATATATACTATAAAACCGTATATTTATACTGTTAGTATACACTTGGATATAATTTCAACTTGTGTAGTGCTCCTTTTGTAATTATGATTTAGGCCTACAGCTTAAATATGTTTTCCTATTTGGGATCAATAAAGCCAGTTCTTCTGTTCTTTGGTGTTTGCTTCTTCTAGTTAAGTAGTTGCTGAATAATCTGAAATAATGTAGTTCACTTAGTTCAGTTACAGTAGATTTAGAATAAATGAAATACCTTGCCACACAAGAAGATTTTCCATTTTACTATTAATAACATCATAAACAAACAACACTCACAGGTCAGAATGATAGGTCTATAGGTCACCACTATATTGCAATATTTCATTGTTATTTTGTTGACTGATTTCTTGCATAGGTGAATTCAGTATGTCAATATGTCCATTTCTACTAAAATACACACAATATGAAAACACCTCCAATGGTTCACTGTACAAAAACACTATTAAAATATTATTTTTACCACAAGAAATAGAAAAAAATATTAAAATATATTAAGTTTATGTTCTGAATATTCCAAATCCAATTTCTCTTTAATAAATACAAATATTCATGGCTAAGTCCTTCAGAAGAGGTAGAGAAAACAAACAAGCTGTAAATAGGGGCACAACTTCACCCAAATACAAAATTCCTACTTCCAATGCACTGCATCATACTGTACACAAACTGGTACCACAACATAATACACATACACACAGCTACACAGAGAGTCAGTGACAGATTTCATCAAGGTACCTGGGTGAAGATCACAATTTGATTATTCAAATGTAGTAAAAGTAAAAATGTTATGAGATGGGCAACTGCATTATCTTGTAACCCTTTCAGACAAACAATGTCTCTAGTTCATTTGGCTAACTGGCTAGCTCCCTATTGTGAGTAATGATCAGGTTGCAGTGAGGCGTTCCACTACATCTTTAGTCAATCAAGAGTGATGTAAAATGGTTTTGGAGGTGGCAGCAACAACACCAACAGGACTGTTCAGATAAAAAGAAGTGGTATCTCCCCCATGATACAGATATGGTTAAAAGTAGCAGCAAAATAGGCTGAAAGTATTAGTAAAGTATGTTATGTAATCCTTGTACAAGTTACTGCACTTTTATTATTACTTGAATTCATTCTTAACTCTGTGTAGAGATTGCATTTGCCCATATTGCCCTGCTCTGTTGCATACTTTGAAAATATACCCCACAACATAAGAAGCTGCATATATCATGGAAAGTTCCCATCCGAGGACAGATGGGGCCAATGAAATAAAAATATCACTAAGGCAAAGACACTGATCTTAGTTGAGAGGAATAGAAACGCTGTATTCTACAAGGTAAAAATAACATTATGGTAAATGATAACATGACTTATTACACTTAACTTCCATGCCATCAAAAGGTTTTCAAAGAACTGACATGACATGAATTTCTGGAAATGTTAGATAGTCTTTTTGGAATGAAACACGTTTATACGAGCACCGTTTATAAAGTACACACATACATACATACTGTAGCTAAACACAGAGGCACACGTGCACTCACACACATACAGTACTGTAAATACACATACACACAAGTCTGAACACACTTGAGGGTTACCAGATGCCACAAGTGAACTCTACATAAAAAAAAAAAATTATCTCAAAATGACATTTAATTAACCACTGTGACGTGACTAGCAACATCACTGCATTTTATATGTTCTGCCGTGCCATAGGTTCTAATCTGGCAGCAAATCTGATGCATTTTTATGGGAAAAAACAGGGTAAGGGTGAGTTTTCTTTTCAAACAGAGTATAATTTTTTGATTTTCTGATATTGGTAGATGATTGAAAGAGTGAAAGACTACAATAAAGCCAAAAAAAGGAGGACAAACGCACCCTTTTAGCATCAGGAAACAATAGAAAATGTCTTAATTTCATCATGACAAACTGACAGAAAGTCACACTGACTTTTTCAAGCTTTTTCCTCCATTAGACAAACATCTCCTTGTTGACCCACATGAGTGTGCGCGTGTCATTGGGTTTGCATTCGTACTCGATGCTGTTGAAGCTGTTTCCCCACTGGCAGTGGTCCCTCTTGTTGTAGTTGTAGTACTTCACCTGCCACACGGTTTCGAACATTCCTGCCTCTGTGAACTGAAGGAGAAGCACATGCACAGTTGGGTACATACCGTACACACAGAGACAAACATAAATCATGATGAAACATGCAGAGTGGACAGATGGGACCTCACACACATATAAGAAACTCACGTAAACACAGACACTTGCACAATATCACTATGTGTAAAATCATGTGAAGGTGAAATGAAGAGGAAGCAGATGGATACATGCACACACAAACACACATCACATCATCCCAGAGGCCCCAGGGTGTGAACTGGACAGATGGGCAGGCTACACACAAACAGCCATGTCAAACCACATGAAATTATATTTATATTTATATTTATATTCACGAGCACTTTTGTTAAATTGTCGTTACGATTAAAAATAGAAGTTAAAATTGTTCATTTTAACTTAAACGTATTTGTACATTTATATCAGATGGCAGTGCTCTCATGGCCACATGGAGAACAGCTGCTTCCTCCAGGTGTCTGTGTTTGGCTGCTGGCTGAAAGGATGTGACCCCCCTGAACACCAGGAACTCATTTTGTGGTTAATGTTTGAACCAGATGCACATTTTATGTTAGCAGAATTTTGGGGTTTGGCAGTGGATTTTGAAGTAACTAGTAAGTGCCTAGCAAATTTATTATACTTTATTTTTTCATAAAGAGCTAGTGAAGGAATTGAGATGTATAGAGAATGAGGATACTAGGTAAATACTCTCAGGGGAGGTAGGAAAGGGATTCTGCTGATCAAATTAAGTTCATTAACTCATGCCAACACCAAGTTACCATTGCTGACAACAAGAAAAATATAGAACATCACAAGACTTAGCAGTGTGAGGAAATCAGAGGAACAGAGCATTTTAAAGTTGGGGTTACATACAAGCTGAATTCAGATATATCAAAAGAATCGTTTAATAAATGTGTGTTGTGTAATTGTTTGGCTTGCCTTGACTTTGAGAAAGTAAAGGCAACACAGGAACAACAAATTCTCGTCTGCAATGCTACTAACTGAGGTTTAGCTAGACTAACCCAAGAGTACTATCTGTATGCCACATGTACTGGGGGTGATGTGAAAATTCATATAGAGAAACAAACAAAATCATATAGAGTTAACATCCAATCCAAGTTGAAATAAGTGTTAAAAAGAGTCAACACACCTAATTTTACAAGCTCTCGATATCAGCTAGCAAGGCCTTCATTGGGTGTTTACTGCAGTTTTCCAACCAAACAGGAATCCGAACAGACCCTCATCTGATCCTGAACACTAAAATGATTTTTTGAATGCTGGCTTTCTCCTTCCTTTGCTTCCAGATTCCAGCCCTATGTACAGTACATCCATACCTGTATGTTGATTTGAACTGGTTGCCTCTCTCCACTCTTGGTGTGCGCCACCCCTTCTGTGTCGTACTGGCCAGTATATACCACCGCCTGCGGGTCTTTAGACTGCTGCTCCAGGGGGAAGGTCACCCCACCCACACTCATCGACCTGCATACAGGTAGACAGCACAACTGATCCACCAATGAACCTTCTTAAAACTCAAAGTTCATGTGAATGTGAGACTGCAGAAGCCAGATCAGCAGAGCATTAACAGAGTGTTAATGAAATAAAAAGATGTATCTAAAACTATTTGATTGGATGCATTTAAAATGACCTGCAGTTCAAAAGCACAAAATAATAGATTTTAACCCCAATAATTGTATCTATATATTAAAAACATGGATCCTACAACCTGTGAGCATCATATTCACATTCTGTGTTCCAGCCAGTATTTCATGTTGACAAATCATTTAGTAAAATAGGTCTCAGCTGTGTGTGTGTGTGTGTGTGTGTGTGAACATGCCCCAAATGCAATACATTTCCTGTGCATCATGGCGTGTGTGACCTATTTTTATCCCCCGGTGCTTGTTCGGGGATTTTTCACAGCCTGATATCCAGAAACCCAACACTAATCCTTAATTGGAGATGGAAGTGCAACAGCACTCATGACATAATCGTGAATTGTAATCAAATCACAAGAGGGCGGTGACACAAAGCCCAAACGTGGAGTCCTAATCTGTGGTGGATTTGACATGCGGCCAATTGGGGTTTATGCTGCCTTCAGGTGCTCCTCGTAAAATCCTACTTTCGAAAGCTACACTTGCGAAAAAGGACTTGTTGAGCGCTCAGTTGCAGGACTTTTGATCAGAAATATTAACTCAAAGCAGTGCAAGGATATTTTAATGTGACACATATATGTTAAAGGGGATTTGAAAGCGATGTTGTGTTTTCTGTCCCCAAACCTCCACTTTTTGTCCCCTTCATGTGCGGTAGTCTGAGCATATATCGTACTGTGCCTGAATGCTTAAAATCTGCGAAAAACCCCAGTTAAAGTCACCACGATTAGTGCCTAACAGGACTGAGCCCCACCATTGATTATTTAATTAACACTCAATTATTATAGCCTAATGTATTTACTCTCTTTTAGTAAGACTCTAGACTACGTTCAGGCAGTGAAGCAGATAAGGCCCTGCTGTACGGTGTCTTTACTTTGTAAATTAAATACATGTCAGCCAAACAATTAAAGAAACTTCCAACATTGTATCGATTTAGGGAACATTGATATTTCCTGAATAATAATAAAAAAAAGCAACCAGTTAACTACAATAACTTTAACCACCACCATTATTTGGCTCAATCTGTCCTTTTGCCTTCCCATGTTGCTCATTAGTGAATCAAGTGATCTTTGTGGTCTTTCTTCCTGAAGGACCTTAAAGGAATAGAACGGTCTGCCCGTGATGTTTGTCGTGATATTAGTATTAGCACTGTGGGTTATGACTAGGTCACGATAATCCACGCCTGGAACAAAAATCGAAGGGCTACCTACGTGGCCTCGACCGCTCCTGGTTTAACGACCACCTCGATTTTATACTTGGACCCGGTCAGCAGCTTGATGGTCCGGGTCTGTCCGAACCTGGCGCCGTCAGACTTGAAGTGCACCGCGCTGTTGTTGGGAAGCATCTTCAGAGAAATCCCAATTTTGACGATCTGAGGGACGTCGGCCATGTTTCCATATAGCTGGTATTATCAATAAGATCAACGGGATTGAGGAGGTGTGTGTGTGTGTGTGTGAGAGAGATAGGTCGCGGGTGTCGATCACTGCAGGCAGACGGACAAATGCCGTGCGGAGAAATCCATAGCAGGGCGCACAGCAGAGGGAATTGCGCTCCGTAATCCCGTCCAACCTACAGCACAGGGCTAATCCCAACCAATGCTCTCTCTCCCTCTCTCTCTCTGAAAATCTCTCACACCACCCTCTTTCCCGCCCCCACCCTCTCCCTCGCTCTCTTCCTCTTTACTCCCCTTTCTAATTCATAATCAAGTGTCAGCTCTCTCACTGTATTTAGATCCAGTGTAAAACCCCGCTGTCGCTGTCCGAGGTGCTTAAAACTGCCAATTAAGACTGTGGATTACTTTAATTGATCGTCAAGGACTGGGTGACAGGCTGTGAAGCACCGGCTGGGATGGGAGAGAACATCTCTAACTGAACAAAATCATCATAATAAACTAGTAGTAAATGACAGCAAGGTAAAAAAAATACATGTAGATTATAACAGGCAGCATACAATCCAGGGTCCACCAAAGCTACATCTCCATTCCCAGAAAAAATAAATGGTTCTTCAAAAGGCATTGTGCCATCACCAGTGAAATAATCTCTTTATTGAATGGATTGTTCTTCAGGTACTTCATTGTGATTATTGTTTTTAGTGGCATATAATAAGGTAAACATACTCTCATAGGACTTGTATGTTAGGTATTAGGTAGGTAGGCCAAAGTACAAAAAATAACCAATTAATTCCAAAAAGTGCAGACAAAGATACAAAATGAGTTTCAATTTTTTGAATTTCTAACAATTGCTCCAGAATTATTTTATCCAGGCCTTGTTTTCTATCTTCCAGCTTTACACTAAAGAGGATTATAAATAACTTTATTGTAAATGGATCAAAGTAATATTAGTAAAAAACACTCTATTGTTAGCTGATGTAGGTCGTGAAGATAGGCCTTCATGAATTAAAGAATACTCCAGTATCCAGATGGGATCCTCAGATTGGATCTACTCACACAGACCCTGTTTTTCTGCCCCAACATAGCAATTTCTCAACCTGTCTTTACTTATGTTCGTACAAAGAACTTTAGCCTATGATAGATCAAACCCTTGGAAACCATATAATCCGGGGATTATATGCTCTGTTTGAGGAGTGCGCTGTGCCAACTAAAATAAATCCTGCACGACTGTCCCTAAGGTTCGCACATTGGCAGAAAATGAGCTCCCCTCTCTGGGAAAATGTGCTCTCAGCGGGTAGACCTTCAAAGTGCCTTTACAGGTTAACATCTGCACTGGTGGGGCGAGGTAGGCATTTTCACTGTAGCGTTTGTTGCTTGTTATATGCCTGTTTTTCTATTTCACACATGCCAGTGTCTGAATTAAAGTCTGTAGGCTACCAGTTATCTCGCTAGCTAACTTTAATGTGAAGGCGCTGCAATGGGCGCTTTACAAAACTAACACTATCAGGTTTTATTAGGTTGATATAAGGTCCGGTTTGGAGACGGGATTGTCATTAATCTTGAGGTACAGTTAGATAGCATTAATATTCATAAAAACACACTTTTAAAAAGGCTGTTTTGAGTTGAGAAATAATAAGGCATATCCCATATAACCAGTTCGGATATGCAGACTGAAGTGATCTTCTCACCGAGTAAGGTTGTGATGGATGCCATTGTGGAAGAAATAGGCATCAAAAGAAGCTACAGAGCATCTGCTCACAACATCCAATGCTGAAGATGCAAAAGCACTGACTGAATCTGGACTATGACAGGGCTTCAGAAAGTGTTCAAACTGTGCATGGAAATCTCCTATGTGCATTGCTTAAATCACCAACTGGATCTTGTGGTTAGCCACAAAGTCTTCAGAAAGCATGGTGGGTGGTTTTTACAACTACTGGATCAAAAGTGAACAGGTCCTTTAGCCACTGTGTCTGTGATCATTGTGTCTTTTAAGGCTATCTCCACCTTATTGTCAGAGATTGATGCATTGTGTGCCTGCAGTGAAGAGATGGGGATGGAGGCAGTTTGGCTTTTGCAGGAAGTTTCCAAGCCTGCCTTCATATTTCTTGTTTTCCTTGTGCAAAAGCTGCTGGTGATCTTGCAGGCAGAGGACATGGACCTGTTAATGGGGTTGGAACTGGTGGCGAGTGCTGTGAGGCTGAGTTTACTGAGTTGTGGAATGAGGCCAACGATGCTCATGCTGCTACTCCTGCACCATCAAAACAGACACGTGCAATGAATAAACACATGGAACAGTTTGTAGTTTTAGAGACTACAGGACAAAAGAACAATGGCAAGATGGAACTGCACAGACTTACACTTTACAGCACAATTGACACTGTGCCTGGAGAACTTGTTGCATTGAATCTAGAAAATGACATGGTTTTGGATCCGCACATACTTCAGCACATTATGACATTAACAAAGTCAACCGTCACTGAAACAGAGTGTGTGGTTGCAAAGCAGTTTATTTGCACACAAACAGAAAAGCAGGCAAAAGAGGAGGCGACTCCTTTCTGCTGGAAGCCATGCCAAGCGTAGTGACTGCTATGAGACTCGGATTAACACTTGGTGTATCCACTATAACGTCTAAAAATGCAGTCTGACTGAGGAATGCCTTCACTGACCACCATCGGTTCATGCACTATGCATTTAAGGCGCAGTTACTTTTATTTATTTATTTATTTAAGATTTGCTCAGATGTACGTACGGGCAGTATGAACATATTAGAGCTGGCAGTGGTGCTGTTGAGGTTTCAGGACAGATAACAAACAACTTTGCTTTGACATCAAGTGAGTGAGGTTTTTTTTTTGTTAAAAAATCATCAGTCAATTTATGCATCTCTTCTGTTATTCTATTCTATTAGTTGTTTTATATTCCTGTTTTTGAATCTTGATTCAATATGAGCTGCTGTTTTCTAATGCCACCACTTGAGGGCACTGTTGCCTGATTTTAGCAATAATGGGGGAAAAAACATCCCTGTGTGTTGTCTTTCAAACTTTGCTGACTTCTGTAGTAAACGCTTTAATGCAAAATTGCGATATAATGGCTGCAGATTGTACTCAAATGTGCAAGGAACCATTTATTTAACCAAATATGCTTTAATCTATGTTAACTCTATTAATACATGAAGCAAAATGTTTTGCGTGTAGCTTCAGTATAAAGCTAAAGTCATTTTGGGGAACATTAGTGGTAAATGGTGGATGTTTTCCCTGAATACTATATAACAGTCCTACTGACTCGTGTAACCCTGTAGAGTCATATAATAATAATATAATAATAATATAATATTAGCGGGACCAGGCCTATGTAGTAAATCCTGATGTTCAACACCATTATTGTTGAGGGCTTGACTCGCATGCGGTTCCCCTGTAATACCTATGTTTGACCACTAGAGGTCAGGCTTTGATCACAACAGGGAAAACTCGTGTCTGTGCTAAAAAAAAAGGTTAGAGTAGGGCAGTGATGCACGTGATGGCGTCATACTGCTGACATCATCACGAGGTTAGGATAGATGAAATTAAAGTGGGAAAAGTTCAAATCCAAGAAAAGTAAACTTATCTGCAACAACTACTTTCAGTTGAGGACTGCAGCGAAACAGGAACACTTGGAATAATATTCATTTTTAATAATTCAGTTCTTCGGTGTGTTGATCAGATGAACTGGAAGCCTTACATACTAACACCATCATTGAGGCTATTGATTAAACTGCTGCCATACATGTGCTTTTTCTGTAAGCTGGTCAAAGAAATGAAAATAAGAAACAAAATAAAATATCTGGTCACACTTTTTAAATACTCTTTTCCAAAACTCAACAGTGCTTATATGGACATAAATACTTATTTATTTACATGTAAATTGTGCAGCGAGACATTTGGTTTCATATTGAGTAAGAGGTTGGGAATAAAAAGAAAAAAAAGAAAAGAAAACGTGGGCAACGCTCTCCGGGTCCGATGGTCGGTCAGTAGGGAGGAGAGTGACGCAGCTGCTCACATAATCGGAAAGCGAGGTAGTTAGAGAGCGAGCAGACCACCCTTACCATGTCTGCATCTGCTGGAGCCCGTTTCTCTGAATATGAAGTCATCTCTGAGTGCTGTTCAATTTTGAACCAATTTAGTGAAGGAGTTTAAGTTAGGCAACTGATAATCACGCAGTGTGAAACCCGTTAAATAACATTTATATCAGCAACTTCATGCCCAGTTTCCTCCTCAAGTTTTACTTCACACGCACGAGAAGAGACTTTCTTTCTGTCAACAAGTGTTTAAGAGCAGAACTGTATGGGTGGCAGATTAATGCAGCGTGTTGTCCTCAATATTTTCTGAAATAAACCGATCCAAACGATCAACCAACGTGATTGTTTTGGGCATCGGGTGATTTCCTCGCCTGCGTAAAACCTGCGTCATCGGTGCATTGGTGTCTATTGACGTTTCTTCAATTAACATTTACGATTCTAATCGGAAACCACAGATACAGCCACGACTGCCGAGATCACCTACTAATCCAATGGTTCTGGTGGTGCTGGTTGCGCTGCGTCCTTCTCTGCCCGGTGCGTAAAAGGGAACCATGCTTTGGGGCAGCACCGGCAGGCTCCACACACATTGACAGACAGAAGCAAGACGGCGAGTGAGAGTGAGTTTGTGGAAGAAAGTGTGTGGGAGTGTGGGAGGGTGGTAGAGCCCTCCCCCCGCCAAATGTCTCGATGGATCCACTCCTTCATAACCCAACTCTTCCCCAGCCTTGCGCAGATGGCCAAAGTGTCCAAACCGGACTGTGAATCAGCTAAACTGGCCACAGAATGACAAGGTGAGAGCAGATTAGATATTTAACTCTTCACCCACTGCATTGTTTCATTTAGTGTGTAGTTAAAGTCAAAGTAGCCAAACACCGTCTGGCGAAAGGGCGCTTGGCTTCATGTGAATGTCTGCCGGTCTCCCAGCGCACAGCGCTGGTGATGCCATGCCGAGAAGTCACACCGGCGACGACAGCAGCGGCACCGGGCTCTGGCTGAAGAGCTCAACGGGACGCCGGGTGCAGGACTACGCACTGAAAGATGTGGAGTCCGGTAGGAGGACGATGAACAACGCGGTGAGAGTCGGGGACGGTCTCTTGTCTCCCACCGCTGCAGGTGCGGTGGGCACCGAGAGGAAGCAGGGCGCCCGGCTCAGCCTGCTGGGGAAGCCGCTGATCTACAGCGCGCAGAGCGGCCGCCGGAACGCGCGGTATCGGCGGCTCCAGAATTACCTCTACAACGTGTTGGAGAGACCCAGAGAATGGGCTTTCATCTACCACGCTTTTGTGTGAGTACCTACACTTTTAGTCATTATACAGCAGAGAGCCAAGACAGTACAAGCCACTTAAAATCTTTTTTTCTGTTGATTTATTTTTTCAATTAAATAATGTTTTCACTGGGTTTAAAACCCCTGTAGGCTGAATTAAAAATGACAGATTTTAGTTGATATTGCCAGTTGCTCACCTGATGATAGTGACCAGCTGGTGTCATGGTGCGCACACATATCATGGTATCAAACTGAAGTTGTATGGGGACGTGGTTTACA